ATATATATATATATATCACATGTATATATATTATTGGTGAAATTAATAAATTCTGTCCTTTTATAGAGACCGATTATTTTTAAAAATTGAAGATAATTAATTGAAAACGAAAAATTCTTTATAGATTTTTTTGCTCTACTTCGCTATTCACTTCAATCATTAGTCGAATTCTCTCTGATTCATTATCAATATTTATAAGGTATTCATGAGAAAATGAAATTTAATGAATTCCATTTCTTCATTTCAACAAATGAATAGATCAGCGCGCGCGAGAGCGCGCGCATAGATCTTGTTTACTCATAATTACGATTCAATTCGTTTTAGTGTGAATTTCTGGAATTCAATGTTTGTTGATACTCAGGTAAAAGTGCGTGGCCACCCTGTTATCAATTTTTAATTACTTCACACGGTAGTTCAATTGATCTATTGTTCATCTCATCAATATAATTCCATACTTAGAATCATCTCTTTGGTAGATATCTTCTGAATAATTGATGTGAATTCAAAATTGATAGGACAAGCTGTAGGCAATTGTGAACGAAACATCAAAGTTGAAACGATTTTCCTTTAAAGAAGTTTCTTGATAGTTACCCTCAAAACCATTTATTAATTAGATAATTTAACAATGAGCAAGACGATCTGTATCCATCGAAATGTGCCAGCGCGGCTTTACAAATTGGAGAAACCTAATTACGAAAAATTGATCCAAAAGGAATGGATTCTGTTCGAGAAGATAAACGAATATCCGTTGGAATGAAATAGTAGTTCAATTCATAAATAAGGAAACCACGTAAAGCTCCGAATGACATGAATTTCACAATTCCAAAAACAATTTTGATTCAGATCAGTCAAACCGTCATTAATTCAGTAGCGAAGCGGTAAAACGGGTTAAGTCGATTTTGACTATTGGCCAGTTGTTGACGAATATCTCAGAATCTAAAAGAGATACAAAATTTTTTGTCACGACCTTTTTTGTAGAGTCAACTGAGGGTTATAAAACAGGTCGTGAGCAAAATTTTGCTATCTCTCTTAGATTCCGAGATATTCATGAAAAAATGGCCAAAAGTCAAAATCGACTCAGAATGTAAAAGTAAAAAAAGTGGGTGTCAGGCAAAGAGGGTCATATAAGGGGTAAAAACGGTGATGAAGCATAATATATGACTTATATTTAGACCCTCATTGACTGATACCCACTTTTTTCACTTTTATATTCTGACCCTCATTTTTTAACCTTCACTTTTTGCCCCTTAAATTTTGACACTTAGCGCCCGACCCTTATATTACACTTAAGAGGGCTTGCTACAATCCAGCCTGGTACAAAAAATCATCTTCGAATTGAAATACCCATTCCCCAATTGAGTATAAAATATACTTGAATCAAGTATATTTTATACTCAATTCAGATATTTTTTTCCGTGTGTAAAGAAACAGATCAGATTCCTCAATCTATAAGAATAGCATTCTTCTGTTGTTCAAAAGATTTGAATCAGGTAACACTCACAATATTTCATCAGAAAATTCTTATCCCTATCAAATCAGCCTTCAATCCTCCATCAGAACCACTTCATCAAAATTGTAACTGTCTACTTTCCACGAAAATACATCATGTACAATAAAACCATTCCAAATTCCCCAGATCTCCATATCAACGTGGACGACCGAATATTATCCAACCCAGTCTGATATCTCAATCATCCCTACTGCAATTCAAAGTAGTTTCCTTTTATATGGTTTAAATGTCATGACGTGTAGAGAGGAAAATGGGTCGGGTCAAAATATACTCCCCTGGCAAGTGGTATTTATGTAACCACGGGGATGTAATGGTTGGTCTACGAATACGCCTTTGAATAGAGGAGGGATGAATGTGAGGCGTAGGAGGGATTCAAGGGGGTTGCAAGAAGGGTGAATTGTGTAAAAGAAAAAGTGGAGAGAGAAAGGGTCTGGAAAACTGAGAACACGTTGGCGGCTACAAATCTACCTACACTCTGCAAGCTCAAGAGCTGAATATATGGATCTGCACTTCAGCGCCCTATCCATTTCTATATTTCAGAAAGTTTTTTTCCACGTTTCTCTCCGTGTTTCTTTATGCATCCATACTAATCATTCCATTGGGGTAATGTAGCACGTGGAGAGGAGGAAAAATGCCTGATGAATTGATGGAATCTCTCGGCGAAGTGAGCATCAAAGATGACTTGCGCATTTTTTCCATTAGTGGACTGAATATTCTGAGGGAATTGAAGATAGCGATGCAAATATTTTCATTGCAGGGGACATTTCCGGTTGAGAACATCCCTGACGACCCATTCATCTCCCCAACTTTTGGAGGTGCTGCGGGAAGTTTCCTCACTCCTGGAAACATTTTTCGATTGTATCTCCAAAAGTTGAGGAGATAAATAAATCGTCAAGGTACGTATCTCTCGGAAATTTCTGTTGCAATCCAACAATCCTTCTTGAGGTTTTCCACATGAGGTGAATTACGTGCTCAGGAAGCTATGGTGAATACATCATTAGTCGGATACTTTTCGGTCAAAATTACACTGTTGACAATTTTCATCTGCATTTTCCATGCCAAATTCCGGAAATTTTTATCGTGTTCAAGTGCTACTGACATTTCAGGAAATATTGTCATTGAAAAATCAAATATTCCATTGATTGTCTGTTTAAATGATCTAAAAATCAATAAAATACTTGATTTTTCAGTTCAATTATTCTGTGAAAATTCAGGGAAATTCAGGGAATAATTGACAATTCATGTCATGTTGGGTCTGAATATTCATGTTTTATTTCCCCCTAAAGATGATTCAATGTTACTCTTATGAGAATTACTATCATACTTTCTATGAAGTTTCAAAAAAATTTAAACAGCGTAGGATGAAGACGGGATTTTTTGTAGTGAATATTGGAAAGTGAAGACGTCAGACTGATAGGGCGAGGTCATATCCCAACCAATTACATCGTGAATAGCCTATTTAGTAGTAAAATATTATTCTAAGAAATTTCTAGTCACGAAGTTGTTTCAATTGGATAGTTGAATTATTTTTGACAATTGGTTGCCTAAGTGCTTAGGATTGATTCCATTTCCATTGTACCTATTCTTTTAATTGCTGATAGATCAAAGTAATATTAATATGCTGCTATAATTTATGCATTTTTATTGGATTTTGAGCTACCAAAAACTTTATTCACGAAAGCTTTAATTAAAATTGCATGGAAAAAATTTGAAAAAATTCATAGCCAGTCAGTATTATCTAAATTCACTTTCGCATAATATTGATATTTTTCCAAACATTTCCCTCTTATAAATAAATAATAAAACTTGTTTGCAAAACGGAAATTACAATGGAAATGTTGATTTTCACATAAGACACTTGATTAAATCCTGATTTTTAAACATTTCTTCTTTGAAAAACCAAAACGATAATTAAATTTAAAAAAAAATAGAATTCCGAATCTAATCGAGTTTTCTGCAATTTTTCTGCAGTTTTCAATAATCTTTGAATTTACCGTAAGGCTAGAGCTACTTTAAGTTCACTCCGACGTAGCACCAGTTGATGTGAAGGGGATATTTCAATCGCAAGAGATTGCAATTCGTAGATATGTCAAAATGATTGAAGAAAGATAACTGACGACATCTGTAGGACATTTACCTTATCCCAAAAAAATTAATACAAACTTATCTCCTTACTTCACATCATTAACCAGCTCTTTCTACCTCATTTCCCAGGAATATCAGTCTTATTCTCGAAAAACTGCAAATCCAATTCACATGGTTTCCCTCAAGAATAACCATCATCATTACCATAAAACTTTGACAATTCTCTTCCATAAAAGTGTAAAAATTCTTACCAGCAAAAACTGCTGTGCTATTATGCTGTGGATCATACGGACAGAGACCGAGGCCATCAGTGTCACCACCTCCAACGTAAGAACCATCCTGCAACAAAAGGGAGAAAAAATATTGAAGTTTGTCAAAAGAAAAGTGAGAAAACCAGATGGGTGCGCTCATGTGATCGTACGAGAATTTCTCAAATATCCCTTTTTCATTCTCCATTCCTCTTCCAAACTCTTTACTCCATTTTCCCTCTTCTTTTTGCCCAACGAAGCTGTCGAAATATTGTTCAGAGGAGCGGGATTACATACTCGGGGATTCCCCTCATAAAATCCAAGTGCACGGGATAAAAAGAGAGGAAAGGACCAATGAATACAGAATCTCTCGCGTTTGAACTGGGCGCAACGAACACGTCGTTGAATATCGAATCGTTGAATATGAGAAAAGCGACGGAGGGAGGGAAGGGGGGGGGATTGGCTGGGAGAGTGTTATAGTGTAGAAAGCCAACGATTTTTATTGGCAGCCATTCTACGGATGTATGTACGGGATACAGAGAGACGCATCGACGAGAGGGAGGATGAGCTGGATAAAGTTTTCTCTTCGCGTTCGAGTTGATCCTTACTATTTGAAAGGGGGGGATTGAGGGGGGGTATCGAGTTTCTCACCTTCAGATTCATCATATGTTTTTGCAGGGGGGTGAGGTGGGGAGTGGAGGAGTGGATTTATTCGATTTTTAGAGTGATTCCGGGGGGTGAACGATATAGAAAAGCTGGGGTGGTGATTATTTCCCAGGGGGAGATTACATGTGGGTGAAATTAATGCATTCTATCGCGGAAAAAAATACCTGAATTGAGTATGAAATATACTTCATTCAAGTATGTTTTATACTCAACTGGGGGATCTGTATTTCAATTCGAAGATGATTCTTTTGTATCAGGACGGGTTGTAGCAAGCTCTTTTAAAGTAGCTCTACCCTTACGGTAATTTCAAAGATTATTGAAAACAGCAAAAAAATTGCAGAAAACTCGATTAAATTCGGAATTCCAATTTATTTCTCAATTTAATTATCGTTTTGGTTTTTCAAAGGGGAAATGTTGAAAAATCAGGATTTAACCCAGTGTCTTATGTGAAAATCAACATTTCCATTGTAATCAAAGATTAAAATCTGATTTTTTCTTCATTAGATGTGAAAAAATCAGGAATTCTTTTGACACCTCATAAAAAATCATCCACCGTTTTGCAAACAAGTTTTATTATTTATTTATCAGAGGGAAATGTTTGAAAAAAATCAATATTTTGCGAAATTTAATTTAGATAATACTGACTGGGTACGAATTTTTTCAAATTTTTTCCATGCAATTTAGTATTATCTTTCGTAATATTATAAGAATTAGTAAATTAGTAAATAAGTAATTTCTTTAGTAATATTATAAGAAGTTGCACCTTACAGTAATTTAGATTTATTTATCGTAATTGAAATTTGAAAAATAATATAATAGTTGGTGATTTCTCAATTATTGGTTGATAAAATAATTCGGAATTAGAAAATTTGAATTGATGGTTATTTTTAAAATCAACAAATTGGTGAGTAATATTAACAATTGACTTATTCCAAATTCAACTGTAATTCAAAATTTCGATTATGCCGATGTCCGAAGTGTAATATAAGGGTCTAAATATAAATCATATATTATGTTTGATCACCATTTGTCGCCCTTATATGACCCTCATTGCCTGACACCCATTTCTTTTACTTTTATATTCTGACCCTAAGTGTTTATCCTAATATTCTGACCCTCTTTTTTTTAACCCTAACATTCTGACCCTCATTCCTTCAACTTTACGTTTAGGCCCTCAGTTTTTAACTCCAATATTCCGAACCTCATTTTTTAACCTTCACTTTTTGACCCTTATATTCTCACAGTTGGTGTCTGACCCCACCGGCCTGTTACTACTCAAGTATATTTCATTCTTGAATCAGGTTTATGCACATACTTGATTGTGGTATAAAATATATTCAATTCAAATTTTTTTCCGTGAGTGTTGCAGAAATATGGAGATTTTTGGGGTATGTTTTCTTTGCACGGGCCAAATCGATGATATATGTCAGTTTTTTATTTACGCAGGGAGAAATATACGTGAAACGATGGCCTACATATCTTAATAATGAAACAGAAAACTAGTCAGTTAATATTGTCCTTCGTAGAAACATGGGAAGATGAGTGAATTAAAGAAGTAATTGTTCCTTCAATGATTGCAGAGATTATAAAAGCGATTTGATACACAAAAAATGGCGGTGGTACCTTGAATTGCGATTGTACGCAAGAAATATTGAAATCCGCTAGCAATTGACGGCTTTATGTGTTCTCTCTGGAGAGGCTGCGCGGGGAGAAAAATTCCAGATGAAAACCACACCTCAGCGACCTATTTTGGTCAAGTGCTTGTGGAGATATGACAACAATAAGTTTTTTAGAGTGAAAACAATTTTTTGTTTGCTGAGTGCGAACGCGGAGGGAAAATAGGTCGGTGTCAGCGGAAATTTTTCTGGATGTACGAGAACTCCATCCGCAATTTTTCATCTCTTTTCATTTCAAAATTATCCATTGAGAGTACCTTACTGTTAGAAAATTACTTCTTAAAGTTCGGGTGAAAAATCTTGAAATTTTTTATAATGACGAATTGCCATTAAATTTCACGTGAAATTGCAATTTTTAGATTCATTCACTGAGAGAAAAATTGAAATGCAGTTCCATTTTTTTATTTTTCTTTATATTTTCCCCTATATTTTTATAACGGTGAAAAATTCGGGAGTTAATGAACCTGGAGAGTCAATGATTCATAAAATGGTTAAATGTTTGCGAAAAAATTGGAAGGAATGGGGTTTCTAGAATTGAAATCCAACGATATAAGATGGAAAGGTGAGGCCATGTAGCCGGAAGAAGAGGTTAAAAAAAGCAACCGCAGCAGCACTAATTTTTCCTTTCAATGTATGACATTGAAAATTATTCGAAATTGTGACAATTCAGGGAGCTATTGTTCTTAATTTGTCATTTTTCCTCATTTTTCAATTGAAATTTGATTTCAAATTGAATTCAAATTCACAAAATTAAAAATTGAAATGCAGCTCTTATTTAACTGAAAATAAAAATCTTTTTTTTTCAGTTAAATGAAAAAACGTTTTTAAAGGTTTTCTTCTCTAAATTCTAATTCTCTTTTTTTTTAAGAATTAATTTTAATCCCTGTTGTTCCAATATGTCGTTTTCTGAAGATTGATATAATGATGATAATTTGTGATTTCAACTTACTGTTGCTATAGTGTTTATGCTTCTTCGAACTCATAGGTAATGAAGGGCTCCAATAAGTGTCTAGTTACTGTTGTGTTTTTTTTCATATTTGAAATTTCTTTGGTTTAAGATATTTTTGTCATAATCTTTAAATAATTAATGGGTTAATAAATGGGTATGTTTTACAATTTTATTGATATTTATGCTGGAATAGATTAGAAATAGAATTGGTATTTAATAGTACTTCATGAATATTTTAGTTTCTACGTAGAGAATAAATGAACGCCCTGATGAAGAACACTTTGTGTTGAAAGCGTTGGCAAATAGCGGAAGAATTGTTTTTTCTCTCGATTCTCTCCTTTTTCAATTCTAATTAAAATTCCTGTTATGGCCGTTAATGGCTGAGGAAGTGGGAGTTTTTCGAAGATGAAAAAATACTAAATCAGCGTTGGCAAACTCCATTTTTCCCTATATTTTCCCCTATACTTTTACGACAGCGAAAAATTCGGAAGTTAATGGACTTAGATCCTTAGTGATTCATAAATTGGTTAAATTCTTGCGAAACAATTGGAACGAATGGTTTCTAAAATTTAAATCCAACGGTATGAGAAGGAAGGCGAGAACGTGTAAACGGAAGAGGATAAAAAGAGCAACCGCAGCACGAGTTTTTGGTTAAAACTCGTTATCTCGTGTGTTTGAGTTTCTTAACTTTTCACCTAATTATCATTAATTTGAAAAGTTAACGAAACCACCGGTAGTTATAACCATACCAACACCCCGCACTGAATCCGTGCAACACTCCAAGCTCTTCCTGTTTTGTGAAACCAGTGGCTCACTTTCAGGTGCTAAAAAACTTTCTGAGAAAAATGAACTCTAGTTTATAAATTCGTTTGGACAAAACAGTGTTTTTTGCTCTTGTTTTCACTCTTCTTCCTTCGTTATTCCTGAATTTAGGGTTTTGTCGGGGATGAAAATTTCCGGAGATAAATTGGAAGATCTTGAAAGGCCTGTCGCATCAATTCTCTGGGAATAAAAAGGATAGGGGCTGGCGGAAGAGAGCGAATACCGCGAGCCAAGAGGGAAAGAATGAATCTTATCGGTTTTCTTTGGCAAGTAACGTATATCATTGGACTCTGCCACTGTCGCACGAACTAATGGACCGTTATGGTTCTCACCTTCAACTTTTTCAAGTTGAAGAGGTTTTTTAGGGGTAAGTTGACACTGAGGAATTTATTGATAACCGAGAACGGAGGATTTATCAAGGATGTTTGTGATTTCGGAGAATATCTGAAATTGTCAACAATGTTTACAATTTTTTGCTAAAAAAAATTTCTGATACACATTTTGGAAATATTTATCGAGTGAAATTTCATCATTGAACACTCACAATTTTATTTTTTATCAATGGAAACCGTAAGTTTCAGTTCAATTATTCGTTGAAAATGATTAAAAATCATGAAAATTCAGGTAAATATATTCTTGAATTTTCAATTAAATGAATATTCTGTGAAATTTGGCACTAAATATCTTTATAAAATTTTTATCCAGTGAAATTTCATCCTTGAAAATTCACAATTTGAGGAAAAAATCGATGCAAATCATAAGTTTCAGTTCAATTATTCCATGAAAGATGATAAAAATGAGAGAAATTCAGGTAAATATATTCTTGATTTTTCAATAAGATGAAAATTCAGCAAAATTGTTAGAGATGCTTCAGACCCTTCAGACCCTTATCCGGATCCTCGCGAACCCTGAAAATTTTTGCGTTAGCGGAACTACAATTCTATTATACTAGGGGGGCTACACCCCCTGCTCGCTGCG